GGGGACACACACAGCTCTCTGGGCCATTTCTTCAATCCAAAGACACACTGTTCTTACATCGATGCCAGCTAGGCCAAATATCATCGTACAAGAATGATGACAGTATGTTGAGTTCATTCTCCTCAAGACCATCTATTAAAATCCAGCAGGAAACGATTAAATTGTTAAATAAAGTTCGAGTGATGCAGAATGAAGCAAACACAAGTTCTTACCTACAACTAGGCAGGAATCGGTCAATCTAAAAGACATGGTGAGCCACGTGCTCACGTTTCATTGAGTTCAAGCTAAAATTCCTCGAGTGCCCTCTGAAAGTCTAGTTTCTGGTAAGCGTTACAGTCTTTGAAATTCGGCAGAAAACATGAACATGATCTCTTATGCAGTAGACATTTCTAGAAAGTTATTTGGGTAAAGTTTGGACAATTAGCAGTGAATTTCCCTAGTGTTCTTCAGAAGCAGTCAATTTCTACGGAAGTTCAGACTTACTTATTTTCCCCCCTCTTTTTCTTTTCCGTTTATTTCTTTTGCCTGGGACATTTGTTTTAGAACCAAAGTTGTATTTTACAGTCCTGTTTTTAGAGCCTTTTTGAGTCAACTGTGGTGACAACTCATTCCTGACTCAACCTCAGGGGTTGAAGTTGAAAAGTAACTGAGAGGATTTATGCTCTGTTAGGCTCTTAAAAGTAAAAAGTCTACTTCCTCTTTTACCCTGTACAGTATAATCAGCAATAAAGCTCTCTCTTGAAGGATGAAAAATAAATAAATAAACCAAGGTGTAAAATGCGAAGGACATAGTTAGCCAGGTACATTGCGCTAACTCCCAGTATAAACTGCCTATTCTGGACATAAAAATGGGTACTAAGGACTACTAATCATCCATGCCATTTTCTTGTTTTATTTTTTCAAACTATTACTATTGCTCCTGGACTACTGATTAATTTTTTGAAATAGTTCTAAAATATAACTTATGGGGGACCAGCAGGTGGTATGGAGGTTAAGGCGCTGGATCCCTAGTGGCTGGTTGTGCAGTTCAAATCCCAGACCCGTCATGCATGCCCAAGATTTCAAGAGGAGAATGAAGGAGGAGGGATTGCAGTGTAGCCATCCCCCACCACCACCACCAGGGGGTGATTTCTCTCTCTCTGGGGAGCTCAAGCTCCCTATTGCAAAAAATTTGTAAAAATAATAAAATTCATGAGCTCAAATTATGGCCACAGACATAAAACATTTTGTTGGTCCAGGTACAAACAGCATTGCCAACTGAGTATTTCGGAAATGGATAAAGAAAAACTTTGTTATAAATATCTCAATAGTTGAACGTCTTCCCACCAATCATGTATGGTACAATTTGTCTCCCCATTCCTGGGCATACCTGTCTACAGAGGGTCCTCTTGATTCAACTAGTAGTCAATGGTAGAAGGCAAGGATGGCATTCTTCGGTTCTCTGCTCGTGGCTGCAGCCCCAGTGCCTAGCGTGGTATCAGAAGCAGGGCAGATGCTCAGTGCTCCGGGCCCTGTGGAGAACAGGGCAGGGTAACACATAAAGCCCTGCAAGGCAAGCTGGGTGGGAAAAGCCAACGGACAAGTAAGGTCGGGGTGCTGCAGGCTGGGGAACATGTAACAAGCCTGGTCTCTTCAGTACCTCGCATAAAATTCCCCCAAGCAGCATTTCAAGTAATGTAAACAAATGAGGTGATCTGATTTCCAAAACTTTATTATATTTTGAAATGCAAAACTTTAACAAATGACTGCATAGATTAATTTCTTTTTTGATAACCACGAAAGAGGGCACATTCACATAAAATAGGAATTGTACCAAGTAAGGAAATGTTCAGCATAATGATTCATTGAGTCAAGTACGAAACACATTAATCTATGCAGATATAAAAGCGTGGCCCTTTTTTATGTATTTATGAATTTTATGTTCATGGAGGATTAAAAGATTCTGATTTTTCTTTTTCTCTCATCTCCTTGCTTTCTCCTTTTCTTTCTTTTGTGCCATTCTATTCGTCTCTTTGGTCTACTTAGAAATATGTCTGTATTGCTTTGGGCATATAATTAAATTAGCGAACATAAAACCAAGTAAGATATGTAGCAAATTTTTGTACATTTTATATAAAATGAAACAATCCAAAAACTCCCAGCAGAAACAAAAAAGCAGAATGCTTTCAGTTAGATACAATGTTATCACCACTTTTGGTGATACTATTTCTTAATCTGTAGCTTTCTTCATTAGCTCTGAAACTTCCTCACTAAGATATTTTATTACCCTCTTTTTCCTACTTTTTAAACTCATATATTTTCTAAGAAATATTTGTAGAATATATGTTCTTGTTTTAATTCCATAAAGTACCCCAAAAAATGGAAAACAAATGTCTTATGATCATAAGCATTAACAACATCTACTGCAGGTGTTGTTTTGACATGACTTACCTTGCTATGGATTTGCCACCTTGGTTACTTAGCCAATACACAAGAACACGACACTACCCAGCATCGATATGACCTGCTGATACAAGTTTGCTGACACCATTATTAATTCTGTCCTTGCTAATAATAGAGATATAAGGAGTTTTGTTTCCCCTTTTTCAGTATTTAAAAGTTTGCCATATATTTATAAAGCATTTCGTCTTGCATTTCTTACACCCTTCCCCACTCCCCATCCTCCGCTCAGTGTAATGAAGGAGGTGGGATGCCGGGTATCGTTAGACCCTGTGTCATAGAAAAGGGTATTTATGGCTGACTCTGCAATTAGTCAAGTGTTGGATCCCTACTTACTGAGAAGTGCAGTGGCCATGCGACCGGGAACAGCAGCCGGGCATTGAAAATGAGCCTTATCTCTGGGTGCACTTTTTGACTTAGAGGCGGTTCTTCGCTCTTTCATCATCACAGCTGCAATGGTTAAAAACTCACAGGCCGTTTCCTTTAAGATGGAATGGCCACACGACTTCTCTAAGCAAGGCAGCAATTATGGACGAGCCTTCCCGAGACTCCCCCTCACCAAATTGCTGTCAAATGAAAGGATCTCTCTCCGGATAGCCGCTATCTGATAACCGCCTGGTCTGCATGGTCTGCTCTCTTTGGGACTTAGATGAACTCTTAGTCGTGGTGACACGTGGTCTGATTTTCCGTGGGCACACCAAAGCATTGCATTTCTCTATGTGCTTCATCTGGCTGGAGTCCTCTCTGTGCCTCTGTTGCCTCTGTGGCACTGGGCACATGGTTTGACAAGAAATGGGACCTAAGACATGGCTTCTCCCCGCATGCTGTGTTAGCAGCAATCCTCAGTCATAGGGAATGTCCTTAGCCCTTTGCTGCTTTGCTAGCAGGTCCTGAACCCTCAAATAAGTGGTGTGTGGAGGAGCATTTCTGGGTGTGACAGGTTGCTGGTGTCTGTAGCTTAGGCATCCTACACAAATGGCGAAGGTGCTGTGTGCCCTGCGAGACCGTCTCCCCCGTGCCAAGTCCCAGCTCCCACGGTCTCCGCGCAGCTCTCCTCAGGATACTTCAGTTTAAGCAGATGTGCTAGGATTTTCCTGTCCTTTATTGCTTTTCTGTTGTTTCATTCTGGGGAGTTTTGAGGTGAATGACTGGCATAGCTGACTTTAAAAAACAACGTGGCTTCAAGTATGAGTAGATAAGAATGGGGTGAAAGTACATAATTTGAGTCACATGCTACCCAATGCCTTCGAAAGACCTACAGGCTCAGCCCAAGGGACGAGTGGCATGGGAGTCACTGTCCCCTTAGAAGCCAGCTGGGAGCCTTCGGGAGCACAGGAGCTTCGGTTCCCTCGGAGCAGATGTGCTGAGGTGGTTGCTGAGGCCGGCTCAGCGGTTCTGTGCACAAGACGGTAAGTGACGGGCACCCTGGGCAAGACTTCCAACAGACAGCCTCAGCGGGTGTGCCACACCCGCGCAGCCAGGGGACGTACTTGGGTTCCCAAGGTAATCGCTTTAGCAGTTGCCAAAATGAAACTAGATCTGTCATTAGATGACCCGAGAAATGTGATTTTCCTTGGGGAAAGGGGAAGTAAAACAAGGAACAGAGAGCAATCCATGTATTTGCTAAGACGCACCCAGGAAAGTTTAGATATAGTATCAGCCATCTGGCCTACTCTTTAATGTCCTGTACACCGGATTTTAGGTTAGCTTATTTGTCACTAAAGAAGACTTAATAGTACTTATTCATCGTTGTGAGGGCAATACTAGCTGAGTCGGAAGGCCGTGTTCATGTTTCCTACGTGTTTGCAATCATTCACTCCATGCCTACTGAGGGTGCACTCCGCTGGCCACTGGGGAGGTCATAAGGAAATTACACATGCTTGCTCCCCTCAGTACTGCCTTCCTGGCTACTTGTTTCTTTATCAGCTATGCTAATAAAACAAAACCACCCACGTGCTCAGGTTTTCTATTTCCATATAAGCTCAGAAGAAAACAGGAGAGGCAATGATTCGTACAATTTATTTTTTACAGCAACAGTTTTGATCTTTAGAATTAACCATGACTGGGACGAGCAGTTAGTGTAATGGCTATGTCGCTGGACACCCACGTAGTCAACCACGGTTCGAGTCCCGGACTCAGTGGCTTAAAGTCACACGGGGCACGTTTGCGTGCATGCCCAAGATCCGAGAGTAGGGGAGGGTGGCGGCTGGGCCCCCCCCCCCCCCCTCCCCGGGGGGTGATTTCTCGCTTTCTGTCTCTCTGTCCCTCTCTGGTGAGCGCACGCGCCCTATAGCAAAAACTTCTCCAAAAGAAAAAAAAAAGGAATTAACTATGACTGATCAAAGGCAGTATAATGGAACACGCTGGAAGAATTCACAAAAGTGTTTTTTTTTTTTTTTTTTAAAGAAGTGAAATCAAATTTGCTTATATTTCTTGAAATGCAAAAAATTGTGGGTTTAGCCAAATAGCTGAATAGCTAGTTGAAAATGAATATTTTTCAATGGCAGAATCGTGGAAATCCAGATTCTGTGACTCTACCATGAACTCTGGTTAAAGACGCTCATTGAAGGTACCTACTTCTAGGAATCCATTCTGGGGAAATAATGTGACATGTAGACCAAGATTTACACAAAAGAGAGAGAATAGTTTTACTTGTAATATTAAAAGTGATATAGCAATGATTAAGAGAATGATATAGGTGAAGTAAGTAGATATTAAAAGGGAAGCTCTTTGGACTAGTCCCATTGCACAGTGGTTAGATATGTTATGCAGGGACAGCGGGTTACCACATGACTGTCCACAGTTCAGAGGTCTGATAAACACATGAGCATGTGTACACATGCCCAGGATCTTCACAGGATAGAAAAATGTAGGGAAAAAGGGTTGCAGTATGACCAGGACCTACTGAGGGTATTTGTGTCTCTCTCTCTTTCTCATGTACACAATCCTCCAGCTTAAAAAAAAAATTAGAAAATAAATAGAAGATGTTTAATCAAGAATTTTTATTAGCACAGGTTATTACAGGAAAAATAGTCATAACAGAAAAGTATGTACAAGTGTAAAAATACAGATATATACACACCTAGAGAGATATATACACTTGTACATATAGGGCTATACATGTGTATTTTTCATAATCTCAGTTTTAGTCAGAAGACTAGACTGGTGGGAGTCGCTGTCTCTAAGTGGTAGGTGTATTAGTCAACTCTTGCTCCAGGGTAAACAACTAGAGACACCTCAGTGGTAAACAAGTGATAAGGATGTATTTTTTGCCTCAGTTTCTGAGTTTTGACTGGGACCTGGCTAATCGTGGGCTGGGCTCTAGATTACCCAGAAGGTTCAGGTTGTCCCAAGCCTTTGCTATTCACTTGGAACCAGTGGCTACACAGGGTATATTCTTTTCATGGTAATAGCAAAAGTGCCAGAGAGCAAAACCAATTACAAAAGCAGATTTCAAAACTCTGTTGTCATGTTCACTGACATTCTAAGTCAGAGCAAGTTGTGTGACCAGGCCCAGAGTTGGATGGAGCAAGCCCAAAGGACACTGCGCCTTCCACGGTGACGCCAGGGTGGAGGGGTGGATGTGGACAACTGTAGGAGGAGGCCAGTTGCTCATTCTACTACAGTGGACTTAATGTTTCTGTCACCTTTCTTCTTGTGCTCCTATATGTATAAATGTGGGAATAAAACCTTATTTTTAAAAATTAGAGACATGGGGAACCAGCAGTTAGCGTAATGGCTATGTCGCTGGACTCCCACGTAGTCGACCGCGGTTCGTGTCCCGGACCCGGTGGCTTAAAACTCACGCCGGGCGCGTGTGCGTGCGTGCCCAGGATCCCGAGAGGAGAATGGAGGAGAAGGGATTGCGGCGTGACCATCCCCCCTGCGGGGTGATTTCTCGCTTTCTGTCTCTATGTCTCTCTCTGTCTGTCTGGTGAGCGCACGCGCCCTACAGTGAAAATCTCTCCCCCCCCCCAAAAAAAAATTAGAGGCATGTAGGTCAACAGAATAAAATAGAAAATTCACATCTAAAGATAGATGACCTCACACTTATGGTCAATTGACTTTTAACAAGGGTAC